CCATGATGCTGGGTGGTCGGTTCTCGTTGTGGGCGCGTCTTCGGCGGGGCGATCCGTTCAGGTGACCAGACGTCGAGCTGTCAGAAGGAACACGCGGAATAGGCGCATTGTAGGTCCCGAATTGCCATATGACATGTCGGGTTGCAATGGGCGTCTGGCGACGGTGGAACGTGGCGATCCATTCGTCTGGGTGTGGCTGACAGAGGGCTGGCGGCGGGCTGTCGTCTTGCGCATGGTCTGAGGCGCTGGTGATGAAGGGCCGAGAGGGCCATCCTTGAGATCGAGCTTGCGCATGGCTTCTTCAGTCGAGAAGATGGACGAAGGCTTGCGAGACTTGACTGTGGGCCTCTTGGGCATGACTGACTTGACCGTGTCAAACACCCACTCGTCTGCGTCGTCCTTGGGAGAGATTGTGTTGAGAGTCTCTTGATAGAAGATTGGGTGGGACTTGCGCTGCTGGTTGACATCCCACATCTGCCTCCGCTGAATGAGCTCTTGAAGAGCCTCGACCTTGCCGGCGGAGCGGATGAAGCGGTGCTTCAGCAGCTCCTTGGCGGTGGGTCGGCGCTCTGTGTCCTTGACCAGACACTGCGCGATGAAGTCTTTGAATTCGCGGCTAAAGTTGCCCTCAAGCCGGGGAGGCGAGTTCTTGGGAATGTGGAAGAGGACCTTCATGGGGTGAATGTGGGCCAGGGGTGGCTCGCCGTTGGCCATCTCCATGGCCGTGATACCCAGGGACCAGATGTCGGCCTTGAAGCCGTATCCATCCTGCTGGATGACCTCGGGTGCCATCCAGAAAGGCGTGCCGACAAAGGTATTTCGTTGCGACTTGATGTTGGTCAATTGTGCGGCAACACCAAAGTCGGCGAGCTTGACCTTGCCGACCTCGGACAGGAGAACATTGGCAGCCTTGATGTCTCGGTGAATCTTGCCCTCAGCGTGCAGGTATTCGAGACCGCGCAGAAGCTCGCGGCAGATGATGGCGATGTGGCCTTCGGAAAAGTTGTCTGGTTTGAGCTGAGTCTGTCAGTACAAGAGGGAAAGAGAGAACAAAAAAAGCGATAATAAGTAGACTTCAAACTCACGAGATCCAAGCAAGAGCCTCCACCAAGGAACTCCATGACGATCCACAGCTTGTGGCCTCGGAGGAAGCTGCCTTTGTATTGTGTAACGAAGGAACTGGCGCAGGTGCTGAGCACAGCGATCTCGCCCTGGATTTCTTGGATATCATCTTCGCTGGATTCGAGATCGATCTAAAGACTATGGATCAGCCATGCCCGCAGTGGAAGGAAGGAAATGGTGGTTGACGTACATGCTTGATGGCGACGGTCTCACCGGTAGCCTTCTCAATGGCCTTGTAGACAACACCAAAACTGCCACGACCCAGCTCCTCGAGAACCTGGTAGTGCTCAGCGACGCCCTCGTCAGGCATTGTGTTCATCCTCCTGGTCGTCATTTTGGGCAATATGTGGTGGAGGTGGAGGTTCGGTCGATGAGAACCTTTTTTTAGAGGTCAATGAATGTAGAGAGAGAGGCAAACCTCGGTCGCACAGGCAGCTGGCTTTGACGCAACAGCAATTGGCGGGGTTGCTCGGCTTGAGGTTGTAGAGATGGTCGAGCGAAAGATGGTTGCTATGGGCCTGGCAGTGGACGAGGTTGTTTTAATGGAAGGGAATCCAGGCTTCCCAGGTTCGAGGACCGGGTTCAGCACAGGTGGACTGGGACGTTCTGGTTGTCCGGGAGAGCGAGCAGGGACCCTGCAGTCGGCGTGTCGGATCTGAGGTTTGGCGGGTGCATGTGCTGGGACAACGGCCGGGGGGGGGAGACGGTTTGATGGAAGCTTGGGCCCTTTGTTTACTTTGCTTCCGTTCTGGTATAGCTCTGACGTCCGCGCTTTCTCTGGGAGGGGCGATCGTGCGCTGTGCTGTGCTGTGTCTTGTGGGACGGGACAGCAAGCAGGCCCTGGCCCAAAGGAAAGGGGAGGAAAAAAGAAAGAGGTGATTCACGACAGTGCAAAAACGAGCAAAAAGGGTGTGCAGGAGCGATATATCATGGAGTTGACTGCTTCGGGGCCTGCCACAGATAAAGGCGGCCACGCTGCAGAGACCAGACGGCCTTGATGCAGACCCCTATGGATGACAGATGGTCATTTACATTCCAGTCGAATGCAACGGTCCAATTGCTGGCATCCAAGCGGCCCATTTCCATAGGGCACTCACTCAACTCTGCACCATCGCTGCTGGTGCACTTGCATCGTGCTGCTGGGTAGCGCCCACATACCACACATCCTTGGAAGAAACCGGGGGTGGGGCCTGCTCCGAGGCCTGGGGCCTGCCACCTGCCGGCCAACCGCCCAGTAACGAAGAGCGCGCTAACGTGGACACCGACACATCAGAAACCGTCGCCCCGTCAACGAGCCCCTCTGTTTGTTGGCAGCAGCGCCCAGCAAGAAGAGGCAGGATCAGAGCATGGTCAGAGCGAACCGGGCACAGCACTCGTAGCTCATAGCATCAGCCTCGTCCCCGTGCCCATCTCCATCACATCCCCCCCCCCCTCTTCGTTTCGCTTGCTCATCTAATTCCACGACACCGCCAAACCTTCTCTTTCTGGCATTGGCACCGTCGCGTCAGAGGTTGTATATCCCACTTTGCTCATACCTGGCCTGCCTACATACCACACTGGTCGGGTTTCTACGTCGACAGGGTCGTCGTGACGCTCGCCCTTTGCGCAGCCTGTCTCTTCCTCTCGACCGTTTGGCAGTTATGCTTGCTGTAGTGTATTGCGACTGTTGAATCTTTCGCTGCCTCTCCGGTCGCACGCTGTTGCTCTTCACCGCTTCGCCCATTGCGGCCTCACCGACATTTCTACCACGTTGGGCTGCCATCGAGAACAGGCCACGCCTAAAATCAACAACCATCATCTCGCCAACTCCCCTCTGAGGAGGTCGCGAGAGATCCTTCTCTCCATCAGCTCCCCGAGATGGTGCCCGCACCGCCGCCGCTGCCCACGCAGTTTCCCTGCTGGTGCCGCGCAGTCTACTCCTGGGGAGGCGAGGTCTGTTCGAGACCTGTGCACGGCGCCCTGCTGTCTTGTAGCTCTTGATTGCTAATACGTCAGCCCAGTCGAAACGCGACCTTGGCTTCATCGAAGGCGATTTGATCGAATGCCTCAACGCCGGAGACGGCTCTTGGTGGACGGGCAAGCTATGGCGCGACAGGAGGACCGTAGGCGTCTTCCCCTCCAACTTTGTCGAACTACTACCGCCCAACTTCCGCCCGACGACGAGATCCGTCAGCCCGTTGCCCGACAACACGCCCAGTCCCAAGCCTGTGCCCCAGAAATCCAAGACGTTCCGCAAGCCCTTCGAGGCATACGCCAAAGCGCCTCACTACACGACGGCGAAGCAGCCAGAGGTCGTCCGAGAGAGCCCGCACGCGCGCGCCCGTGACAACTCGGCCAGCTCGTACCAGCCTCCCGCCCACCTTGGCCGATCCCCATCGCCAGCGCCGCCGCTGCAGCATCACAGCAGCTACGACGCCAGAGCGCCGTCGCCTGCCCCTCATCAGCAGTACGGCAGCTACAATTCACGCGCGCCTTCACCAGCGCCACCGCCCCAACAGCAGCATCGCTACGACTACAGAGCTGCCTCACCCGCACCTCCCCAGCAGAGGAGCTATGACTTCAGAGCCGCCTCGCCGGCACCCCCTCAACCGAGGAGCTACGACTTCCGCGCTGCTTCACCAGCGCCACCTCCCCAGAGGAATCATGACTTCCGAGCTGCTTCCCCCGCTCCTCCTCAACAACAACATCATAGGAACGACTTCCGGGCAGCATCACCAGCCCCACCGCATCACGTTGGCTACGGATCGCGAGCGCCCTCGCCTGCCCCGCCGCAAGCTTATCAGCAGCACCCAAGAGCCCTCTCGCCAGCACCTCCGCCACAGGACTATCACAGGGCTGCATCTCCTGCACCACCGCCTCCGTCACACCATCACCACGGCAGCTATGGATCTCGCGCGCCATCTCCTGCGCCTTCGTTCGGATACAACCACCACTCGCGAGCTCCGTCCCCGGCCCCGCCTCTGGCACGCAGTGTGTCACCGGTTCCTTCTTTCATCGACACGTATCACAAGGAGACGTATGATGAGCCAGCACGCCAAGATTCACCGCCGCCGCCGCCTCCACCGCCCCATCGTCACGTCAATGCCTCCCGCAACAGCTTTCACCCCAGCCAAGAACCACGGTACGCCGGCGGTGGGAGGCAAGGCTCGAACCTCTCCTATGAGCACCGCCAAGACGGGCTCCAGACCCCTCGAATGCCTTCACCCTGCCCTCCGTCACCTGGTGGCAGCCACATGACGCCGTCCCCTCTCCGGGAAGCCATGGATGGTGTCATTGAGCAGCTTGATGCCTTGGGTATGCCCAGGGACACAAGGACCCCCGAACCCGCACCGCTTGATCCCTGGTCTCCGGAGTGCTTTGACATGGTCAGCCACCGTGCAAGAAACAAGGCGGCTCAGCGGCCCCAGACGTCCATGGGACTGGGTCATCAAGATGAGGGCTACGAGACCTGGAGCGGAGGATCCTCGCAGGAGGCATCTTACCAGAACGGCCAGCGAGAGGATGCACACGACGCGGCCCAGCTCAGCAACTATGTCGAACGTATGGAAACTCGACTCCAAGGCTTGCAGCACAGCAACAGCACAACCAGTCACGATGAGCCCCCGCCCCCGCCACCAAAGGGCAACCTATATCAGCGACCAAAGTCATCCATGGCGAGGCTCCTGCCCCGGAGAAGAAAGTGCGGACTCGAAAGTCAGCTTACGATGTTGGTCGAAATGTCCTAGCCGCTCCTTTACACCAAGACTAACTCCACGAGCGCATCTTCCGGTAACAGAGCGCGACGACGCAAGCACGAATAG